ACAGGTTAGGTTTCCTGGGGCAAATTAATTCTTGGATAGCCAATCGATTTGGATAAGGAACTTAGGTAAATCATTTATAATTTAGATTTTTAAGAAAATTTTCCAGATTTTGGGAAGAGATTTAACCCATAAAAGAATTGATTAAACCAAATTTTATTTCGAATAATTTTCAAAATTTTTCTAAAAAGTTCTTTGGTACTATATATATTACTATGGGTAATATATATATATAATACTTAAAAATGATAAAGATATATTAAATTCCAAGGAAATTTCTAGAATTTTTTTAGAATGTCTCTGTCATTTCTCCAAAAATTAGTTTAACTGGTAGTCGGAACCAAGTCTAGTAAATTTCTTTTTGTTTTTCTGAAATAAATCATAAAAGCGAATTTCGTTGTAACACTAATATTATCTTATGTACATCATTTCTAGAGTTTAAAGAAAATATTAATATTATATATTATATCTATGCATAATTTGTTCTTTAGTAATTAGTGGTGGTAGGTGAATCTATAATTACATCTGGAAGATATGACCTACATGCATACAGTGTGTCCCAATAAAAATGGGAATTGAATGACGAATTCGAGATATTCTTTCTCAAGAATTAGCATGGAAATACCCGATCTCAAAATCCATAATCTAATTATGTCTGCTCGAGTTTAATTTATGAAAACGATAAATGGCTGCAAACATGTGTCTGTAATCTCTCTGCAAGATGAACAATGCAATATTGTAATTTTCTTGTTTTACTAAGTACACCCTTATGCACTATGCAGTCTTAAACAAACAAATTAAAACATAGCAGAAGGAAATCCTACGGTTACAGCTTTCTAAGTAGGTATTACTTTAATAAATAAAAGAATCCTTTTATATGGTCACGCCAATCCTTTTATATGGTCACGCAAATCCATTTATATGGTCACGCAAATCCTTTTATATGGTCACTAAAATTCTTTCCTTTGGTCACGCCAATCCTTTTATATGGTCACGCAGAAACCCAAAAATGAATAAAAACCCAGTTTAAATAAACAAAAACATGGATATCTAGTTCATTCTTGATCAGACAACGCTTTTAAGGGTACCATTGTGAATCGGGCATTGCCATCTTTGCGTGGAGGGCACTTGAAATTACTCGTACAGTCCCTGTAAGGCCGTTATTAAAATCTTTTTCTTTGTGGCAATTCCTGCCTGTCATATTATTGGTGTTACTGTTGGGGACATTTTATACAAATATATAGTACACAAGAGAATATAATATTCAATTGTTGAGTTATAATATATAGTACACAAGAGAATATAGTATTCAATTGTTGAGTTATAATATATATTACACAAGAGAATATAGTATTCAAATGTTGAGTTATAATATAAGTGCTATAGTTTTCGGTCAAGAAATTGACGGCTTGTAAAAATTGTTTAAAATACGTTGATTAGATAATAAATAAAATCATTTGTTTTTTCCCACCAGATTTCTGAAGTGCTATCCTTATAATGTAACATGAAAATTCTTTTGAACGAAAAATTTGGGACGCACTAAAAAGGGATTTTAATTTAAATTTTATAATTTATAATTTTTACACTGAGAACCAGAAACGTGGAAACTGTCTTTGTTTTCTTTATACTCAAAAGATGCTGCTACTCCTTTGTGTTTTATTTTTATATTTACAATATTTATGTTTAAGGCCATTTTTAAGCACTGGTTAAGTTGCAAGTTACAATATTTCATATTTTCAAAAAAAACATACGTTCTTTAGAAGCACTGAATTATTATTGCGAAGATTTATATTTATCTGTCAATGTCATTCCTGTATTTTATTTTAGTTTTAATTAGTTATCAACTTTCAGCGAGTTTTTGCGCTTTAAGAAAAGGTTTTCAATTGTTTTGGCGACATTTTACGGTGCTGTTTCTTTGAGCCTATTTTTAATGCGAATATGATAAAATAAAAAAATTTCGCTCATAGTTTGCAAATGATGTTGCGAATATATCAATGCACAAAAAATGCGTAATTTACGCTAAAGAACTATTAATTTCCGATATATTAAACTCTTTTATAGCTCTTGTTTACATTACAAATCAGGCACTAGAGGAAAATCCCCCTCTAGTGCCTGATTATTAATTATGGTAAGTATGTAAATAGAAATTTACAAATGAAAGCTTTGTTTTTCTAATTATCCTGGAATGATGTATTTGTAAATGAATCTGAGTATGAGGTGTCTACAGATTACATATTGCCGTGAAAACGAATTTGTTTACTAAAATATTTCAAATATTTGTCATTTCAAAAATATGCCTGAATCACCACTTATCTACGCAGATATACGATTTTGCTTGACCTTCGCTACATGTATCATACTATTTTAGGGACAAAAATCCCAAGGAATCTAGAACTCAGAAATGTATTTCCAGTGAAATATGGTCCTAAGACTTCAGAAATATGGGACTTTTTTTACCAAAGTTTTTTTTCCAGGTTTTTCCCAGAAACTTTTTTTCGGTGACTTTCTTACATAAAATATCAAAGTCTAGTTAAACAAGGATTAAACGACAATAGTTTTCTGTGTGTACACCCCCACTGCTATTAAGCCACCACTAAAAAAAGAAATATTTGATTTTGTTTAATTACAATAAGAGTTTACTTGGACGTAATTGCGAGCCTTTTAATTCCTCGCAATTACGCGCAATGGAATTCCAATTGGAGAATGTGATTACAAAAAAACTATAAGGGGGCTCAACAATATAAGATTTTACAATCTTCTCTGTTTTAATTGATTTTGTGGATCGAAAATAAAATATTTTTTAAAATTGAGTTTTAAAGGCAAAACGTCATTATTAATCTGACCGTCTTTTTTAATCATGAAAGATCTTACAAAGAATTATCATGGGTTAAATTTACCTGTGTAAGAATGTAAAAATTATGTACAAAATGAACATTGTTTCTTTGCACTTCAAGTCCTGTTTACTGTTTAGAAGTCCATATATAAGCTTAATGGGACATTTTAAAAGAAATATAGAAGATACATTCCTGTTGTAATACCCAGGGAACCCACAGCTGTGACAGAAAATGGGTATTTTATGATTCAAATGTAATTTGTAAAATGCTGCAACGTATTTAATTATTTAGAATATTTCAAAAACCCCCCCTCCTCACTCCATCGTGTATACAAATCAATTTTTTTTAATTCAGACGAATTTCCACCAAAATTGATTGTAAATAAAAGGATTGAATTTCATTTAAACTTTCAAAAATTTTATTCCTTAAAAATGTGTAGACCGATATTAACATTTTTATGTTCGACAACTGTTACTGATTACTTCCTTGTAAACAGGTACATCCGGTTTCAAATTTACAACTTCCGGTTCCTGTCACTGAAAAGATATTTCAGGGTAAACTCTAGAACGTCTTTATCTTGACCCTGTGATGCAATGTAAACATCAGCAAACTGATTTAAAGAGAATGAAAGCGTAATTTCAAGTGACCCTCCATGCAAAGATGACAATGCCCGATTTACAACGGTACCCTTGAAAAATGTGCAAATTACCATCGGTTATCCGAGTCGAATAGTGTTTATGTCTAAAAAATCTGTGAGTTTTCTATTTAACTATAAACAAGAAATGTGCAAGTCGCTTTTGCAGAGAAACCGCAAATAAAAATAAACAATTTTGAGAAACCAACATATTGATATCTTATTCACACTTTAAAAAGTATGCAGTACACGGAGAGAACGTGGGGAAACAATAAATAAAAAAAGAATATTAAAATACAAACGAATCTTTTTTATTTTGCATGAAGAAAAAAACAATGGTATTGAAAGTAAAATTTTATATCATTTAATACAAAGCGCCCTAAAAGGTCAGTAGACTAAAAGTCTATAACTGGTAATGTGAACCCATATGTTTAACTAAGTAATTAATTACTAAACATATTTATCTGTATTCTTATATTCCTCTGATTAAATTAATCTTATTGTAAATATCAATATTTTCTCTACAAATAGGAAAGAACCTTATCTGCTAAGGATTTATTCAGACTTTGTANCAGAATTATAATTAAGCACTGGATATTTAATTTGATTCACACTGTATACCAAAATATATAAAGCCAAATATAAGGCAATAAACCTAAAACACCCTGTAGATTAAATTAATTTTTAATCTCTTAAAAATGTCTACGCATAATTTTTATTAACTTCACGGTTAAAGTTAAATAAAAACTATTCAATATTCAAGGAACTCTCAAGATTCCAGGAAAAATTCAATTACGCGGAGTAGAATATAGGGATGGGCAAAGTAGAATATATGGATGGGCAAAGGAGAATATAGGGATGGGCAAAGTAGAATATAGGGATGGTCAAAGTAGAATATAGGGATGGGCAAAGGAGAATATAGGAATGGGCAAAGTAGAATATAGGGATGGGCAAAGTTATAAAAGGACGAAAAATAGGATTATTTAAAAGTGGCAGAATTTTCGTTAGTTTTTATGTCAAACCCAACTCTAACTAAAATTTGTAATTTTCTATAAGAAAACCTAAAATTTTTAAGTTTTTTTTTACATTTTTACATTAAAGAGTGTTAAAATGAAAGATAGCATAGCCTGAATCAAAATTCCACGAAAGGGAGTGTTCGCGAAAAATGAAAGATAGTATAGGCTGAACTCAAACTTTACTTCTATCCATAGTATATTGTTGAATACGCTTAATGCTTTGTTACCATTATTACAAAACATATTGTTCGTTCTTACTTTTGCTTATTTTTATTTTAACATGTTTTGTTACCGGAATCTTTCATTCATTTTAAAAACTTGCCATTCGTTAACGAAACATTGCCCAGTCTATTATTCAGTGAATTTGAAACAAAACTCATAAATATAAATGCACTTCTTATTCGGGATGAATATAAAGTCTGGATCTACAAACATCATTTTATTCCTTCTATTCATAAATTTGTGAAAAAATGGACTGGATTACTACCCTGTGCAACAATATAGGGTTGTTAATCGTTTTTGTAAATTATCGTTTTTTGTTTCGTTTTCAAAAACGATCGTTTCGTTTTCGGAAAAAAACGCTCGTTTTTAAAAACGACCTACTCGTTTTGAACTTTTAGAAAACGAATAGCGATCGTTTTTGAAAACGATCGTTTTTATTAAAACGATTTGCGACCGTTTTTTATACGATTGTTTTTAAAAAACGATCGTTTTTGAAACAAAAATTGTATTGACAATTATGTTAGCGAAACGACGAACTTTATCAAAACGGTCGTTTTTTGGAAAAAATTACGTGCAACTTTATCGAATGTCGTCTTACATGAAGTTTAACAGTTGTTGGGGAGTTAAAACTCCTTGATATTTTCTTGAAAACTACTCAATGATAAGTGTAGATTCCCTTCAGGTCGGTTTCCTCTCTTAGTTAACGATCGTTAACGAAACGACCATTTTTGAAAAACGAACTTTTAAAAAAACGATCGTTTTTATAATATTTAAATAGGGATATGTTCGAAAATGAAAACCAATATCATCAAAAACTATCATCAAAAAATCTATAGTGTAGTTTTGTATAACTCGTCTTGGATTTAAACATATATACGCTTGAAAAAGATAACTTTGCAGATTTGGCCATTTTCTAACACTCAGTGTTAGAAATGGGCTAAGTGTTAGTTTTTGAACTAATTTCCCCTGGAATAACTAAACTATACTCATGCTAAAGTCTTGTATGGCACCTGTTTGTTGGCAATCCCTGTCAATCATAAAATGCGAGGGGGAAGATAAGAAGATAAGTAAGGGTTAAAGGAGAGGGTCTGAAGTCTACCCTATAACAAGTTTATTTCCACTTAAGTTTATTCTGAACTTAATACACTTTATGGACTTTGAAACCTAGAGGAAGTTGATTTTAGAGATTTTCTAGCATATGTGAGATGTCATCAGTTACAGAAGGACCTGCATGCGATGATGCGAAAACTACTTCTTGCGCTCTTGGTCTTTGTTTTAGTTGAGAGTAAAGGAGGTAGAGGGGGAGGAAGCTGGGGGAGATCTTCATCATCACGCTCTTCATCTTCATCCCGTTCTTCATCAGGAGGAGGCTGGTTCAGTAGGTCTAAGAGTCCAAGCACATCAAGATCTTCAGGATCATCTTGGTTTGGAAAGAAAAAAACAACTTCAGGATTGCAATATTTGAATCTATCTGAAAAAGTGCTAAAATCACTTGTTCTTATTTAAGGGTATAAATATTTTAACACATTGTAATGTGTAAATGCAATGGTCAATGAAATGCAAATCTGTTAGTAACAGATTTCACTGTTAGATATTTCATTGATTGAAACAGAATTTAGAATAATATTGCTTTATTGATTCAGGAACTTCTAGTTCGTACCCTAAACAACAGTGGGGTAGCAGCTCAGGAAGTGCTTATCCTAAGCAACAATATGGAGGAAGTGCAGGTGCGGGGGGCTATTCACCTCCGAAAAGTACAGGGTCTAATGTTGGAGGATATGCTGCAGCAGGAGGACTTGGAGCTGCAGGGGGGTATGCAGCTGGAAACCTGGGTAAAACCAGTTCTTTGGGAGGTGGAGGTTTTGTAAAACCAGGATCTACAGGAGGAATTGGAGGCGGTGGTTTTGTCAAACCTTCTGTTGGAAAACCCGGGTTTCAGGGATCTAGCTATCCTCAGCCTTCAGCTCCTAGCCTAGGTAGAACTAATAGTTATGGAGGTGGTGGAGTTGCAAGCCATGGCCTAGCTGGAGCAGCTGGAGCTGTGGGAGGATATGGCCTGGGAAAGACTAGTCGGTATTCTTGGCCCAAATCATCAACCCTGGGTGTAGGCAAGCATCACAATTCTGCATACAACCCTGGATATGGAACTAAGTTTGGAACTAGCTTTGGAGCTGCAAACATGTATAAACAGAAGAAGGGATTTTCCAAGAAAGCATTAGGTCTTGGTGTTGCAGCTGGATTTGTAGGAGGTGCTGCCCTGGGAGTTGCAGGTACAATGGCAACCTACAGTGCTTACCATAGATATCAGCACTTCAAGAATATGATGAGTATGAGAGGGTTCCACGATTATGATGATGACAGATTTGGATTTGGTAATAACTACCGATCTTCATATTACAGCAATAATCAATGTTTTGGAGGATGTCCCATGAACTCTCATTGTGAATGGGGATTTTGTGAGTGTAATGCTGGTTATGAGAGAAGGTATGGACAATGTGGAAGATTAGGAGGAGAATTCATCCCTCGAGCAAGAAGCTTTGATCCTTTTGCGTCCTGCTCAGTAATAACAACTTGTCAAGCAATAGACATAAATATGATTTGTAATACAAATATAACTGTTCAAGCTGGAGGAAAATGCCAATGTAAACCTGATATGAAATGGAATGAAGCTACGGGTGAATGCCAAATCTTCATAGATGTGGATTGTACAAAATTTACTTATGAAACACCACCATCACAACTTATATTGGCTGCTGCAGCAAAAGCTGAGAAATCCATTCCTTCCAACATAACTATTCCCAATGAAGCTGCAACTCCAACAATTGAAGAAAGTCTGGGAGCAAGTCTTTTGACAAAGCTGGATCAAGACAAGGCAACAGCAAATGATTTAAAGGAGGCTTTCTGTCGGGACGTTGATGCTTTCAGCTTTGACATGAACATTGATGATTCTAAACCACCCAATTGTGATCCAGTACCCAGAACAGCTTGCGGTGTTGTCTACGATAGCTCCAGCTGTTCCGGGGGATGGAAACTTATAATTTCTGAAGGTGCAATCAGCTTTCCATACTTCAGTTCCTACTGGAAGTATAGAAATGATATTGATCTCGTTGGGGTTAAAGCTGGTTGCACACTAACTGCATTCTCTAATACTGGATTCTCGGGACAGCGGGGAACCCTCAGAGCTGATGCAAGAGACCAATGGTGGGTTCTTGCGGAGCATGCAGAATATGCTCATCTTGATTCAGATATTGAATCTCTTCAATGTGTTTGCCGCAGAATGTAGAAACTGTTTCTTGTAAGAAGTTTGTTTAATTGTAAAGTTTTATTTACAATAATATTATAAACATCTGTTTTAGATTGCATTGATCAACACTGTCATTTATATAGAGGGTCAATAAGGAGGAAGCGGAAGGCCCATAAAGATTTTTAACATTAAGGAAAAATGAGGAAATGTACTTTTTTGTCTGGCTGGGTGTCTATTTGTATCCTATAAATGTAAAACAGCTAAGTGATCAGGTCCAATTTTTTTGTGGCAACTTACATGACTTCAGGGAAGGTTTATCGCTGGTCAAAATATAAAAATGTTGCTAGAGAAAAATGTCAACATTTATTATTTAACAAAAAACCTGCAAAATTTGAAATTTTACATTTATGAAGAAAAACTGGCGGCTTGAAAAGCATGCATTGCAATGCAAAAAATTGTTGCTAGAAGAGCCTAGTATTATATATGATTCAAAGATTTCATAATTAGAATGTTATTGTCTGCTTCGGTTATTATTATATTCACAATTCGTTTAAGAAAAACCTCCCTTTACTCCCCTGCCAACTCAAATCACCACTAATCTAAATCAAGGGATTAACAATAGGAATTTTGATGCATTTATAAATGGAAGCATTGGGTGAATTTTTATGTCTATATTCAATAGTTTGTTTATCTATAAATATACATAAAAAAGTTTGCCTTTTTGTGGATTATTAATCAGAATATTGGAGAACTTCCCAAAAGAACATAAGGAGATAAATGTCAACGTGAATATATGGAGACTTTAGTGAGAAGCATTTATTTGAAATATGCTACATCATTTCAATAATAATATTGATTGATTAGATTAATTGATAAGAATGATTGCTAAAAGAGATAATTAATTTTATGTAAATATGTCATATCTCAAAATAGGATCTTTTTTGATTATTTTAATAATTAATTGATTTAACATAAACGAATAAAATGATAGATCAAATTAAAATTAATAATTGATTGATTGATTTTCTACCTGAAGATAAACAGGGTTAGAATGAGAACTATCGTATCCCAGAGTAACAAAGAGGTCACCAGAATCCTTGAAAAAATTATTATTATTATTATTATTATTATTATTATTATTATTATTTTATTATTATTATCATCATGTTTTTACCTGAATCCTTGTTTAAGATCAAGCTCTGCTCTTCTTAGAATCATCATTGTTATAATATTTCCTAAATTATAAGATTTATGCACGCATAAAGTGCAGAGAGTAATTACATTTAAAGGGAATGAAAGCGTAATTTCAAGTAACTCATAATGCAAAAATGTCAATTCTTGGTTTACAACGTTACGTTTGAAACCTTAATTTGATCAAAAATGTGCAAAATACAGTCGTTTTCTGACTAAAAAAGTGTTTATTTCTGTAGTTTTTAATTGCTTCTTTTAAACAAAATTTGCGCAAATTTTATCAAAATACACATTTAAAAGGAACAAAATCGTTGATATCTAATTCTTTAACTCCTTTAGAAAGTTGACACAATTAGTTTATCGTAAGTTGACTAGTATATAGTATGTATTATGTATAGTATGTATCATGTTTCTTATTTACTAATATTCAAATAAAAACTGTCAAATGTAATTCACATCTGCGGTGCGTGACGTTCTTAACCTTCAAGCAAGGATTGATACAGGGATACAAGGATACAGGGATGCAGGGATACAGGGATAAAGGGATACAGGGATACAGAGATAACGGAATACAGAGATATAGGGATACACGGATACAAAGATACAGGGATGCAGTTATACAGGGAAACAGGGATACCGAGATACAGGGATACAGGGATACAGGGATACAGGAATACAGAGATAAAGGAATACAGAGATATAGGGATACACGGATACAGAGATACAGGGATGCAGTTACACAGGGAAACAGGGATACAGGGATACAGGGATACAGGGATACAGGGATACAGAGATACAGGGATACAGAGATATACGGGTATAGAAATACAGGGATACAGGGATAAAGGGATACAGGAATAAGGGGATACAGGGCTACACGGATATAGGATACGGGATTCAGAGATACGGGATAAAGGAATGCAGGAATGTAGGGAAACAGAGATAGATGGATACACGGACGCAGGGTCACTTGAAATTACGCTTACAGTCTCTTTAAAATTCAAAACCTACTTTCCAATAAGAAAAATGTAAGTCAATCCAATAGTCGTAGTTAACCATATTATCTATGCATTTAGTGCTAATGATTATCTACGTTGCTAATTTCTGAGAAGACCTATAGGTCTACGTCATTGCCATATTAGGATTAAACCTAACTATGCTTATCAACAACTAAATGCGCTTGTAAATACGTAATTCTTGTAATCTAACTGCGATTGTAACCTTTAAATTAACGCTAGTTGGAAAATACTCCGCTTTGATTATGGCGAGAGAGTAATTCGTTTCCTCGTTTCACTCCTCTATGCCGAGTCCATTAATGCCTGATCCAATTAGGGTTCAGTCATGTGTTTGTTGTCTATTCTGAACCAATAGAAATAGTATGGCGGCGACATCTATTTTTCTATCTATACTCATTATCCAATTAGAGATAGGAATCCTTCAATCGGCATTATCAGTAAATGGAAATATTTACTTCTACTGAAACTATAGTGGTTTAGCAACCTTGGGTTGGAGATTGAGTAGTATCTTGTGAAACAGATACCTAAGAATACAGATAGAGTTGTATCCAGATGGATATTGACTAGTGTAATATTGCGGAACCTTGAGTTAAAGATTGAGCTGTATCTTGTTAAACAGATAACCGAGAATACAGATAGAGTCCTATCCAGATTGATATTAATTAGTGTATTATTGTGGAACCTTGAGTTCAAGATTGAGTGTAATTTGTTTTCTTGGTTAGAGACAATGAGAGAGGAACCTTGAGTTCAAGATTGAGTTGTATCTTGTGAAACAGATACCTGAGAATACAGATTGAGTCCTATCTGGATTGATATTGACTAGTGTATTATTATGGAACCCTGAGTTCAAGATTGAGTTGCATCTGATACCTGAGAATACTGATAGAGTTGTATCTGAATTGATATTGACTAGTGTATTATTGTGGAACCCTGAGTTCAAGATTAAGTTGCATCTGATACCTGAGAAGACTGATAGAGTTGTATCCGGATTGATATTGACTAGTGTATTATTGTGGAACCTTGAGTTCAAGATTGAGTTGTATCTGATACCTGAGAATACTGATAGAGTTGTATCTGAATTGATATTGACTAGTGTATTATTATGGAACCCTGAGTTCAAGATTGAGTTGTATCTGATACCTGAGAATACTGATAGAGTTGTATCTGAATTGATATTGACTAGCGTATTATTGCGGAACCTTGAGTTCAAGATTGAGTTGCATCTGATACCTGAGAATACTGATAGAGTTGTATCTGAATTGATATTGACTAGTGTATTATTGTGGAACCCTGAGTTCAAGATTGAGTTGTATCTGATACCTGAGAATACTGATAGAGTTGTATCCGGATTGATATTGACTAGTGTATTATTGCGGAGAGAGGAACCTTGAGTTTCAGATTGAGTTGTATCTTGTAAAACAGATAACTAAGAATACAGATTGAGTCCTATCCGGATTGATATTGACATATCCATATTGAGTAGGGCATTTACTACATATATATAAAAAGTTGTAATATCTGTTTGGGTGTTTGCTTGTTTGTTTGTCCGATAATAACTCAGGAACCCCTGGAACGATTTGCCTTAAATTTTGATTTGGGAATTCGGGAGACCCACGGGAATATTCTTAGCTTGGTTTTGAGATTCTAAGTTGAGTAAGTCGACTTTAATAGTGAAAATTTAGTTTCCCGGTAAAATCGTTCCAGTGCGGGTAAACAGCGGGAGTAACTTTTAGTAACATTGGCAGCGCTGGGTTCCCAAGCTAGTATGTATATGTTAGCTATAACTGGCCAAACGGCTGGACCGAATTGGCTGAAGCTTTTTGAGGATATTCATGGTACCCTGGGGTAATAAAGCATAAAAAAACTCGCAATTTTTAAAAATCTTTTCTTCAATATTCGATTCAATATTTAAGTAACCTGAATGTACAGTGTACACCTTTAATACTGACCTACAAGTCCTGGAAGTCCAATACAAGGCAGTATAACACCCTCCAGCCAGAAAATGGTCTAAACAAATTACACTGCAGTGCCAATAAAATAAATGTTGCAAAGGAATGGAGCCTCGGCCATAAAATTGTCTAATCCCTATATCTTTGCATCCAAATGTTGTAAAACTTCAAATTTAGATTGATAGAACAGAAAAATTGATTGTTTGAAATATCCAAGGTCTATGACATTGTGTTGAAAAGAAATAGGGATTAGTAAATCAGGGCTCGTAGCAAATCAGGGACCAAATTTGAAGAACTTAAGCCGCGGCTCAAATTTGGCTGGTTCAACTTAAATTTGTATTAAAATTTCAAGATTTAAGCCGGCGCTCAATTGAAACCAGTTTTTTGTGGATTTGAGACGCGGCTTAAATCCATTAAATTCGGACACAGGGCTCGTAGCAAAGACTCAATTCCTTTCAGACTGTTTTATTCATTGACAAGTAAATAATAAGAGTTTAACAAGTAGGATATTTCTATAGAGGCGAGAGACCAAAAAAGCTGATTATTAAACATGCCACAAATATGTGTGCGGTTAGTGCCAAACATTTCACGTAAAAACTATGAAAACAGTAAAATCTGTTAAAATCATTTTAAGCTGCTAATGTAAAAAAAGTTTAGAATTTATATTTTTTTGTAGAAAGAGTATTATAAATATTGAATGGTTTATTTAAGAGAAGTAAGAGTAAACATATATCTGAGCGATGCAAATAGTTTTGCACGAAAAATAATTGCTAGAAACGCAGAAGGAAATGTGTACAATTTATGGCTGGCATAATCACTGTTCCAGCAACTTGGTTTCTAGCAATCAAGTTTCGAGCAATACTTTCTGCAGTTTTCTAGTAAACCAACCTGAAGAACATTTTGCTGCATTTGTGTTGTATCTTCATCCATAATTGTAATATTTAACTCAGCCTTGAATCCTAACTTGCTGTTCGCGTTCATTTCCATTGTGCTGTTCATGCTGTTCATGTTCATCTCAATCGAGCTGTTCATGTTCATTGCTCATATTTTTGTTAAAACTGCAGAAATTGATAAATATTCAAAAACCATGCAAAAAAGAGTAAATTCCAGATTGAAGTTTCATTCTTTTTATGTAGCCCTGTACAAATATAATATTATGTAGCCCTGTACAAATATAACATTATGTAGCCCTGTACAAATATAATATTATGTAGTCCTGTACAAATATAATATTATGTAGCCCTGTACAAATATAAACAAACATATTCTGCATTTTGCAATTTAAATATTATATCTGTTTAAATATTACTTGATGCCTCAGATATATAGAATCCATTGCAAATGTAAATGAGAGGAACAACATGATTTTGCCCGTAGAGTTGCCCTTAAGGGATGATTTAAAAAAATTTTAAAAAGTATTGTGAAAATTTTACAAAAATAGTTATTTCTCCTTTTGACAAAGCTTTTCAAATATATAAAAAGTTATTCAGAAAAAAACACAGTAGGGGGGGTGGAAACCCCCCCCTCCCCCTAACGGGATAGGGTTTAATTTTACTTT